TGAAAAATCTTATAATTCATTATTTATTTTGCTTTTGTTTTTAAATTTATGATTTTTTCTTTTATTTGATTTGATTTAGGTGTTTATGCCTATGTTACTCTGAAAGAAAATGTGACAGAATCTGAAGATGCAATTAAGAACGAGTTACGTCTGATGGTAAAAAAAGCAATTGGTGGCTTTGCTGTTCCGGAATTGATTCAGGTTTTGTTTCTTATTTTATTTTTATGAAGCTAAAAAATTCTGATAGCGTACAAAATAGTCATTAGATAATTGATATTGAATCGCCTAAAGGTATCATTTAGTATCAAATTGAAAAATATAGGTAGGTAAATATAATATCTTTTTTTTTTAACCTGTTTATCCCTATAGTTGCTTATCTAAATAATACTATATTTAATACATTGCAATTTATTATTTATAAGATTATAATCTATAATAATGATAGATAGGTAAATCAAGGGGACTTCTCACTTCACTTTTTATCAATATAATAATATCCTGTCTTTAGGTTAATACCATGCTTTTAGTAAAATGTAAAAATAAAAATTTTAATAACAAAAGTGAAAGCATTTCTATTTATTATTTAAATGTTTTTTTTTATTTTTTATTTTCTCTTTGTAAAACTTGTGGAAATAAGCTAGACACAAAAAAATCAAATACTAATACTAAATATTTGCTTGTGAAAAGTATATTAAAACACAACCTAGAAAGTTGTTCATCAAACTTAAAAAGAAAGAAGTAGAGCGGAGATCACAAGAAAACGAAGCAGTAAACCAAATTGAGGCAGGTCCTTCTAGATCCACAAGGGATGTAACCTTCAAACTTCTCATTCTTCAAACATGGTGGTTACAAATAAGTGTCCACTGGTCAATTAATAGTTGGTCTTGAGATCATTACTTTTGATTAGTTGGATTAGTTGCTTGTTGATTAGTTTTGGATTAGTTTTTCTGATTCTGAAAATTTGAGGTGATTTATGAACAGAATATTTTCAAATGCCACAATAAAACAATCAAAAAAAATTTCTTGTAAAATAAACTCCCTTAACTCTACCATACATTAAAAGGAGCTAGGCTTGTCAAGGAAAAAAAGCTCGTAGATCCTTTTCAGTTTGCCATAACTACTGACCATTCGAATATTTGACAAATGAGTCATAAATGTCAGTGACAGTCAATCTTGCTAGACTTCGCCCTTAAAAAAATTCATATAAGATATGTGCCTATTCTAATAACAATCCACTGTTGTCAACATTGTAAAATGAAAGTTCCACTCATTTACGTGATACAGAAGGTGATGTTTGGAAAAAAACCGTATTTACTGATTAAGATTCCTATTCTTTGAAAATATTCCAGTGGTACAAATCAGTTCAGGAAATATCAGTTTTTTCATCGTCGATATAGAGATCTGAATTGTCGTGCCACTGTGGAAAGTGACCACATTTATCAACTTTATTGAGAGAAAAAAATACAATTCTTACTTAAGGTAGTAACCATTTAGTAGAGAAATTCTTAGAGGACTTATTATCAGAACTAAATAAGAGTTTTCTAAATAAAGACCGTAAACTATCCGCATTTAGACTCCATCCATTAGTCATTAACTCCATCCATTTCTTAGACTAATTAACTCTAACATTAACTCATCCAAAAATGACCCATAGAAGAAGAAAACAAAAGTGATATAGAACATCAAGTAGACTTATTAATGCCAACATTAATAGAAGAAACTCCTTAAATACCAACAGAAATACAACAAAGGAATAAACAACGAAAGAAGAAAGTCAAAGTCTTCTAAATTTTTAAAAAAATATGAGCTCGTTAAAGCAATCTTACTTGTATTTTGTTCATGATCAAAAATTTACATTTTTATTTTTTTCCTTATCAATATCAAATGAGACTATTTGAACATTCGATATACCAACAGAAATACAACAAAGGAATAAACAACGGAAGATAGTCATTTGAACATTCGATACCATATGATACTTTATTTATTCGGTATTTTATCAAACCCATACTGATGGTATCTACATAAGTGTATTAGCAATACTATATGGTACGAGGCAATCCTTTTTAGTATTGACTTACACCATACCGATTATCTTGTGCCTAGTGTAATATACTAAAGCTTTTTTAACTTGAAAATGTTTATAAACAAACCAAAATTTGTATGCATTTAGATTAGCCCCGGTCTGCCAAAGACTCGATCAGGGAAGATTATGCGTCGAATTTTACGTTGTATTGCTGCAAATCGAATAAATGACATAGGTGATGTTAGTACACTAGCAGAGCCAGAAGTTGTTGATGCCATTGTGCAACAACATTTCAAACTTTTACAAACTATCAAATCATAAATTTTTAAAAGACTTAATATACAAAATATGTAATGAATGAATGAATGAATGAGTATTTACTGTAAGACTTTGTTAGAAATATGTAATCAACCAATGCGTAATGGACGAGTATTTTGGGTATGCAATTTTTTTATATATACTTTGTTAAAATAAATTTTAATATGTTAAATAACAATATTATTTTAGGTGTCTCTATTTTGATTCATTTTGTGCATTTATTTCATATATATATATATATATATATATATATATATATATATATATATATATATATATATATATATATATATATATATATATATATATATATATATATATATATATATATATATATATATATATATATATGGGCAATTCCACGAGAGTGGCGGTCGCAACATTTGACGCTCTTTAAGCTAATAAAAATAAACCGAAAATCGAAATGACTTTTAACTTTCTAGAAATGTGAAATACTATCATATAGTTTAGTATTTAAAAGTTACAGCATTAAAGTCTTCAACTTTTTTGAAAAATTTACGCTACGTAGTGTAACAGTTGTAACGCTTACTTTTTACCACTTCTGAACAAAACGTCAGACTCAATACTATGGTATTATAAAATGATTTTTTTAAATACCTTTTTTGCCTAAAAGTATTTTTAAATAATTAAAAACAAGAGTCAAAAAAAAAATTCCTTGATTAATGAACAAAGGCTAAGTGCTATTCAATTTTGCAGATTTATAATTAGAATAATTAAAATAATTAGCACTAAATTAATTCAATTAATTCTAATAATCCCTTACTATTTCTGAAAAATAACAGTAAAATAGTACTTGGGCTACAGCGAGGGAGGAGGAGTTACGGGCAATGTCCACAAATTCCATACCAACCTCTCCCACAAAAAAAAAATTTCATATTAAGTATATATCAAGCCAAAACTAAATATTTTAGTTTTGGCTTGATATTCCGTTTATTTTTCACAAGTTTTTCATCAATATTTTTGAATAATAAAAATCACAAGCGAAAATTCCAAAAATTAGTCATAAATTGGGTATTTCTTATTTCATGAAAAGCTACTATTCTAATTTTAAATTTAATAATCAATCTAAAGATATGCAAGTTAATACATTAAATTGAAAACCATAATATAAAAAGTATATAAAAGTACACGGAATAACAAAGATATGATTAAAAATGTGGTATAAATACAACACAAATATAGTGTCAATATTGTATAGTTTTCGATGAATATTAGTTCCTTTATTTTAATTATATGCAGCTGATTTTTTTATAAATTATTAAGCGATGTATAAAATAATGACTATAATATAATGACTGCATTTTACATGGATTTTAAATTAACCAAAATATGCATTTTTTAAAGTATTTTCATCCAATTAAATATGGAATATTTTATAAAAATTTTAAGGAAGAAGTTTAAGGAAAAAATTAAAGAAAAAAACTTATTTTATGTTAATTTCAAACAATTTTCTTATATTTAAAAAAAAAAATGATCCTTTAGGAAAAAAGTGGGAGTGGGGACACGTGCCCTCTGGCCCCCTCGGTGTCGTCGGCCCTGCATATATGCAGTCGACTCTCGATATCTCGAGCTTTTTTAGCGGTCCCATGGACATAACGTACTAGTTTAGGCTAAAATCCTCTCGATATCTCGAACCTTAATATCTCGAACAATATTTTCGGTCCACAGGGCAATTTTTTTTCGTTATCTCGAACTTTTCAACATTTTTTTTTCAAAAATGTTTTAATAAAATTTAATTTTTTTTAAATTCCAATTTTCGAAAAAAAAAAAAATTAATTCGATTTTTTTAAGAATTGAATTTCTAAAAAGTTTTCCTTCAATATATTAATTTATTCTTTTTGTCTAACACAACAACATGCCGCTCGTTAAACGAAAACTCTCGAACAAATCTATAATAGAAAAATGCAAGGCATTAAAAGACCTAGAGACAGGGATGTCTAACAAAGAGGTTGCCAAAAAGTATGGAGTCCCAAAAAACACATTATCAACCTGGATTAAAAATAAAACCAAGTTATTAACCTCACTGGAAAAAAATGGCACAAAATCTAAACGGAAGAAACTTCGTAGTGGTAATTTCAAAAATGTAGACAAGGCCATTTACACGTGGTTCGTTGCAAAAAGAAGTCAACAAGTATCAATTGATGGTACCATACTAAAAGAAAAGGCACTAAAATTCGCAGAAGCATTAGGAGAGTTAGATTTTAAAGCATCTGATTGTTGGTTTCATAATTGGAAAGAAAGGTCAGTTAAATTTTGTCAAATCTTGTTCAATTTTAATATAAACTCAGACTAACAGGCATAGTAGCAGGGAGTGCAACGGGAGAAAAATTACCTATGTTTGTTATTGGAAAATCTAAAAACCCACGGTGTTTTAAGCACATTAAACAACTTCCTTGCACATATAAAAATCAGCTATTATGTTGGATGACCGGAGACCTTTTTACAGAATGGGTAATGAAATTTGACTTATTTTTTCATGCTCAAGACAGGAAAGTAACACTCCTGGTGGATAACTGTTCTGCCCACCCACACATTGAAGGGCTAAGCAACATCAACCTAATATTTTTCCCCCCTAACACCACATCTGTCCTTCAGCCCATGGATCAAGGCGTAATACGAAGTCTTAAAGCTCATTGTCGTCACAAAATTGTGCGTTTGCGTATCAAGGCTGTCGATAATAACGAACCCATGCCAAAAATTTCTATACTTCAAGCAATGATCTTGTTTCTTCGTGGAATGCTGTGTCCAAGGAGACTGTCATCAACTGCTTTAAAAAAGCTGGTATCAGCAAAACAAACAAGAGTATTGAAGAAGCTGATGATGATCATCCTTTTAAATTTTTGACAGAAGAACTTAATCGTTTGCGAGAGTTAGATCCTCGTGCCGTCCAAGAAGATCTCTTAGCGGAATCTTACATTGGTTTAGATTGCGATGTAGTAACCACCGATTTACTTGCTACTGATGCTGAAATCATTGCTCAGATTTTAGAACCTAATTTTGAAAACGACGATAATGAAGTTGAAGATAGCGTTGACGAAGCTATTGACGTCGAAGCCCCGCCACGCTCATCTGATATTAAATTAGAAATTACTTTTAAAACGATTCAAAATGTTTCGCTATACAGCTCAAAATACGGAAATGAAATACAATCCCTAGCACTAAAACTTGAGGATTTAATAAAGATGGAAAAGATGGATAATTTAAAGCAATATCAGATAACAGATTTTTTCCAAAAGTTGTAGTTTTTGTTATTAATGATTTTTGTCAGAAAAATAACTTGTTTTAATGAAAGTCGGGCAATTTTATTTATTTTCAAACCGTTTCTTGATATCTCGAACTCTCGATATCTCGAACTTTTTTCCGGTCCCCTTAGTGTTCGAGATATCGAGAGTCGACTGTGTGTATATATATATATATATGTGTGTGTGTATATATATATATATATATATATATATATATATATATATATATATATATATATATATATATATATATATATATAGACAAACTTAAAATAGCCAAAATCACACCGATTTTTAAGTCAGGTGAAAAAACAAATGTTTCAAACTATAGACCTATTTCTGTATTACCTTGTTTCTCTAAATTGCTAGAACGCATTATGTACAATAGGCTTTGTAATCATCTAGTATCAAATAATATTCTGTACAACAAACAATTTGGGTTTAAAAAAAATCATTCTACGGATCACGCGGTAATTGAGCTTGTAAACCATATATCGGATGCTTTTGATAAAGATTATTTTACCTTAGGAGTTTTCATTGATTTATCCAAAGCATTTGACACTGTCAATCATGAAATCCTTATAAAAAAATTAAAACTTTATGGAGTAAACAACTTAAACTTACTTTGGTTTAAAAACTACTTGACTAACAGAAAACAATGCATAACCTATGAAACAAATGAAACCAAAAAAAAGCTTATAAATTGCGGGGTTCCTCAAGGATCTATCTTAGGACCATTATTGTTTCTAGTATATATAAACGACTTATTTTTAGCATCTAAAAAATTATATCTTATATTGTTTGCTGACGATTCCAATCTGTTTTATTCACACAGAGATATAAAAATTCTCTTTAAAATTTTTAATGAAGAATTATCTAAAGTAAATGAATGGTTTATATATAAAGTAAATAATGGTCTAAATTCATCCTGTTCCACAAACCAAATAAAGTTGATAAAATTCCACTTAAACTGCCAAATCTTTTATTCTAAAAAGGGAATCTACTGTTAATTTTTTAGGCGTAATTCTTGATGAAAATTTGTCATGGAAGTTTCACATCCAATCTATTGAAAGTAAAATCTCTTATAATATTTCCGTACTTTATAAAACAAAACCATTTTTAAACGCAAAAGCTCTAATGAAAATTTATTTTTTATTTATTCACAGCTATCTTTCTTACTGCAACATTGCATGGGGAAGTACGAATTACGGAAAACTCAAAAAACTTTATAGTAAACAAAAGCATGCTTGTAGGATTGTATTTGGGGCAAACAGAACTGTTTATTGCGAACCACTATTGAATCGTCTCAAGGCCTTAAACATTTATAAACTAAACATTTACCAAACATTACTTTTCATGTTTAAAATGAAACATGGAATATCTCCACTTATATTTCAATCATATTTTAGCGAAATATCTCATAAGTATCCAACAAAGTTTTCAGAGGATAACTTTATTGTTCCGAGAATAAATTTAAAAATAAGTTCTTATCAAATTAAATATCGAGGACCTTTTTTATGGAAAAATTTTATTAAAAACTTTAATAAAGAACACTACTCTTTAAAAAAATTTAAAGCAGTTTCTAAAAGAATCTTACTTCAATTAGATTTTAATTCAATAGACTTAGAGTATTTTTTTTAAAAGGAAATTTTAAAATAGAAACAAACGCTCCCATTATCATTAAATATATTTTGTTATATGTATCAAATATATTTGAATTAGTATACAAAACTTTCTTTACTTATAAATTTTAATATAAATGTCATTTTATTATTTGACAAAAGTTATGTACTCTTTAACGTTTTTTTGTATATTTTATTTATATTTGTTTATAAACACGGGCAATTTGTAAACGGGGCTCGGCGATAAGACAGTCATTGTCTTCTTCTTGCTCCGGCCAATTTTTATAAATGTAATATGTCTAT